TGCGTGTGATATAGTGCGCCACTTGCCACTACACCACCTCCGCCTACATACGTCAGGATAATCAGCTTGTTGGGAAACGATTTTGAACATTCTCGGCTTATTGTAGTGAGCTGAACGTAATGAGACCAGATAACCTTTCCATGCAACTTTTGTGGTCACATTCTCGTCCAAGACCTAATTTTAGTACTTTTATGAAGCCATATATCTCTCCTGATACGCCGTTTTTCAGGTTTTCTTCCTCACCTTCGCCCTGTTCTCTGCTGTTATTTACACTAGTGGTCGGATACCGAGTACCTCGAAATTACTGTGAATTACATCTTCAAAGCCCCTACTTCTAGGAGAGAAGAACGTACTATAAGATATTTTGTAGGTGTCGAAAGAACACATCAAAAGGGTCCCATCTTCCAGTCTTTTTTGGACTCAAAGCAGAAGTTGAATGCCGATTAAGGACAGTAACTCCTTCGCTCTTTGAATCCGAAGGAAAGATGAAAAGGCTGCTTTTTAAAGGTGACTCACTTAGTAAGACACTGTGAGGTGTCCATCTTAGGTAGAACTCTTCGGCGGAACCATGGTCCGAAAACGAGGTCGTTATATACAAACATGCCGGCAATTAGAAGAGCGAAGCCGATCAACTAAATCAAATTTGTTGAACTCAACGGTCCCAAAAACATTGAGAAGCAACCAACCTGTAAGGGGATAAATTTTTGCCCAAAAAGTGGCATTTCGGCTGCCCAAATCAATATCACTCGAACGCTATCAAGCACAGTTCTGGTTGTAGCTGACAGGTTTTTGGATACCGTCAATCCAGCAAAATTGAAGAAAGCAATACTGAAATCATAAGAAGAAGATCCTTAGTACCAATCGTCACCATCAGGATAATGTTAGAGGCCTTTCACAAAACTAATGAGGAATCATAAGAAGAAGATCCATTTTATTCGTTTTGATGCATATCAATCATTTCTACACTTTGAACAGTCGTCAGGAAGGCAAATGCGCGTCGAATTCTCGCTCAGGCTACACATCCTTTCCGAGCCCCGGCATCCCTACATTGGTAATATGCACTAATTGCTAGGATCTGTCGAAATACCGATTGGCCTGGCTGAACTCCGCAGTCATCTGTTAGCGATGGCTTCAACCTTCCCAATACAACGAAGAAGCTACAGTATCCTTGGAAATACTATACCGTAAACATGTCACCTATGGGCTGCTTTGGGAGCAGGTTTGCTCTTGCTACGGTCTTGGCTTGCGCGAAGTAGTGAATCATCTTAGGACACAGGCTCCTTAGCTTCGCAATCAGGTTAGAGGTTTATCTCTATTTCAAGAATTTTCTGAGACCTGTCTTAGATTTCATGAAGCACTGACCTGATTGTCGTTCCACCCAAAGCGGCTAGAATCATTGGTTGG